GGCGCTCTTGCCATTCAGCTGTTTTGAGGGCTTTCTTGTGCACTCCTTTGAAATGTAAAGGGACTGCACAAGAAAGCCAGAAACAGTTGAGCAGCAGGGAGCATGGTGCTACCTGCCACTCACCTGTTTTTGCAGTTTTCTCTGAGAACAGAAAGCAGGACTCCCTTTAAATCCTTGCTTTCTGCTCTATCCGTTTACTGCTTTAAAAGTTTGTGGAAGTTTGTGATGGTAACCCCGTTACAAATGGTTCACACCACAAACAGGGCAAAATTTGTGATGAGTTTTTCTTTGTAGTTTGGCTCGTGACTGGTCTGCTGCGTAGACTGTCTTGACACAAGACTAACTTCTCTCTTTGTATTGCTTTGCACTTCCATAGAAATCTTTTAATGTGTTTTGATTTCATGCATTTAGAAATACCCTAGGTATACAATCTTGATTTTACCAATATGAGTTTTTAATGAACATTATCTGGGCTGGCAATTCAATATGACATTTTATTTCTGTAGCAGGAAATATAAGTTGAATCCACTTGGAAAGAACTTAGTCATTTGCATAAGCATAAAAAAACTTGTAGGCAAGAATGCACTAATTATGCATGTGAATAGATAGAATATAAATACTTCAGCCAGTTAACTTGAATTCAGGACTTTATCAGTTAATAGTGATCTTTCTTTGTTACTACTGAATATTGATTCAGTAGTACTTGCTTTAATTGTAATAAATAGTGTACATGAAATGTTATTGTGTTTCTATACTTTACCTCTTTCTTCAAGATTCCCATACAGTGTTGACAATATAAAATTAAATGTGCTTTCTAGCTATTGGGGGGGGGGGCTGCTAAATAAATGAGCTTGATATGCTTCTCAGGTTATTTTTATGCCATTGTTTTCAACTGTTTTGGTTTCACTAGTTTAGTTTAGTTTAGTTTAGTTTCACATAAAGTCTAGTAGAGAAGGAAATAATTAGCTGCACTCAATATTGCTGAGAAATGAAGCTAGAACAGGTCAGTTCAGTGTATCTTGCAGATTGTGACATTTTAAATTACCTGAATAATTCTTGAAGCAATCTTTGTACCTAATTAACAGCTTTTCTAATTAATGTCAGATTGTATCTTGCAGATCTAAGACATATTTGCATTTATTTACTTGTTTAATATAACATTCATGCAATCACCTATCTTTATTTTTCTGTATCGGAAACTTCAAATTTGTGTACTGTTTTCTTAAGTGGAGTAACTCTTCTTTTGCTTCCCCCACCTTCAGGTAATCAATGTGCTGCTGAATGAGTTCATTTTAATGCATTCAATCATGCCTCTAATGTTTGTAGCTTACGGGCGCAAGCATCAGTAATGCAGGAATGTTATATGGCTTTAGTTTGGGCCATTTCATAAAATATTCATGGAATCAAAAATGTGCATCAAAATAGCGTCTGGGAGAATTACATTTATGTGCCTGCTTTTATGGCAGCTTCACATTTAAACCCATTTGTGTTAATATCTAGTCAATCTTCCTGTTCAAAAATAGTGTAAAATGTTAGAGATCTTATATATTCTCTTTTTTCAGTTCATATTTGCCTAAGAGATTTCTTACTTCATAAAATATACACTTTTGGGGTTGTTCTATAGGTTGTTCTATAGGCAGAATAAGTGTAAAAAAGAATAGTATTTTAAAAAATCATGGACATATATGTTTGGATTGTGTTTTCCATTTATGGCATGCAAACTTTTTAACCCCTACCCCATTTCCACCTATCCCCAAAAGGCCCAGGAAGGATGTTTTTGTATCAACTATTAGATTCTTAAAAAAATAACATTATTTAAGAGAATAACAGAAATCTTTTGTACTCCCATTTCTAATTTCTATGAAAAATGAATGATTTATGATATTTAATTCATTTTAATGTGATGTGTTTGCATTAATATAATTGTTTGGAATGGGACCCCCTATTGAAAGAAACACATAGTTATACGTCATTTCAGCTATTAAAAAGAATTGATTGCTGATTGTTAATTTGGTGCTGTATCCTAGGGCCCTGTTAAATTCTGACTATTTTTAGCAATGCTTTAGCTTTTGTTGTTGACTCATGAGTGTGTATGAGAAGTGCTGCTGTATTTTAATTTGAAATTTATGTTACATTACTGCAATTTTGAAAACCATTGCTTGGGGAAATTGAATAGCTAGATCCTTTTTAAATGACAGTGTGAATTGCATTTATGTTACATACTTAAACCTTTTTTTACAGATTTTCTTTATGCAGTGGAACCACTATCCCACAAAGGCTTATGCACAGAGAAGCAATTGGGCTTAAGTGCATCTAACTCTGTATTGGTTTGTTGCTCAGATGTTGGGATATACTTTGCATTTTCCCTTCACTCATCATTTTTGCTGCAGATCACTGACTTCTTTTAAATGCTAGCTTTGAAAATGTAGAACCATGCATTTTGGATTTGGGGGTACTTTGTAGCTTTTGCTTCCTAATAAGATTCAATCTTTTTCTAATATGTCATTAAATGTAATGCTTAAACACATCTAAGTTCCGGTAGGTACTTACAAAGCAATTGCAGTAGTAGTATTTAACATTTCAATTAGCTTTTCGAATTTAGCACAAATCAATTATACATTTTAAATGTTAACCCAAAAAATGCCACAATGTGCTTGCGATGCTATGAAAACTCAGTTTTTCTGAGTTCTTATGTGTGTCCTAAGTTCATGAGAAAAGTCTTTATAGTTTGCTCTAAAAATGAACAGTGGGGAGACAGGCAAGGTTATAGTTCCAGGTTCAAAATTGCCTTCAACTTTATTTTTCCATTTCTCCATGCTTTTCTTTCTCAGAAATCTGATACAGATATTACATGCTGTCTTATTTTTGCAAGTTGTTCTAATCATCCCCAACTTCCTTCTCAGTTGACCAGATGTATTATGTGAATCAGATAATTCAGAAGGCCAGGAACAGCTTCTGAGAGTATGGGTGAATTTTCTCATACTCTCAGACATCTTAACATCCCCAAATGCCCGCTTGGATTAGTAAATATATTATGGGAACAGATGATGTAGTTGCTTCACTGCTAGGGACGTCTGTGATTGTGTGTGTGTGCGTTTTCCCAGTGGAGAAATGATGTTTCTGTTGCCATTAATTGTGACTACTTACTATTCATGTGAGCAAGCATTTCAGCATGGCAGAGACAATATTGCGAATTAACAGTGCCATCGTAAGCAGTGCTATACCCTTTCACAGGAGTCATTTTGTAGAAAAAGAGGTGCAGGAGCTCATTAGCATAACTCATTAGCATAACATTTGCATATGACACCCCCCTAACATCACCGGAAGTGTGTCAGAAGGCAACACCCACCACTCAGGCTCCACCCCAAAAATCTCCAGGTATTTCCCAACTCAGATTCCCAGGATCCTCTGCATGTCAAGCAGATGCTCTGCCCTGAGCCATGGCTCCACCCTGCTGTCTACTCATACCAGCAGTGGCTCTCCAGAGTCCTAGGCGCAGATCTTTCCCCTCACTCAGAAATGTCAGGGAATGAATCTGGGATCCTCTGCCAACTGGGCAGATGCTCTGCCACTCAGCCATGGCCCTTCCCTTGGGAAGTATCTGGCATAATCTCCTGAAGGAGCGTGCCTGCACAGAGGTAACCATAGGCTGTCCCTCTGGCTGCTCCCCATCCTCTTTACGGGCTGAGGAATCAAACACCTTAGAGTCTCCATTCTGGTAACCCGTTAGGGGCGCAAAACTCCCTGTCAGGTGGGAGACCCACTTGGGCTTTTTTTTTTTAATATATCAATGCATTTTATTTTATAAACCCAAAGGGATTTGGGAAAAAGCCTCTTTCCTTGGTGTTTCCGGATGGGACCTGGAAACAAGTTGGAGGTTAGTCAGGCCTGCAGCCAGGATTTTTTAAGTTGGGGGGCATTTTAATTTCTTAGGGGGCACTGGCTAATTGCATTAAAGGTAATTTAATTGACTTGCCTTTCTGCCCCTGCCAGCTTCGAGCTGACTCCACTCCCTCCAGAGAGTGCCCCCCCGCCCAGACCTCCGCCGCTGCCTTCACTGCAGGGGAGGGCATGGGGTGGGATGGGATGTCTCTTTGCCATGACTGCTGGTGTGCGATCGTGGCCTTGAGGGCCAGAGGAGTGTAGTGAAGAGGGAGCTGTAGAAGCACGCGTGTGTGAGAGAAAGAAGGCTCGGGGGGAGGGGGGTAAAGAGAGCAAAGCAGGCAAGCGCAGGGTCCTCCACAAACCCTCAGAGACACTAAACTGAATACCAGTGCCAGGAGGCAGCATCAAGGGAAGGCCTTGGTCTCTATGCCCTGTAATTGGACCTTGCTCATAACATCCATGAATAAAAAATATTGAAAACTAGCCATGATATTGTTAATAAAACCACAACAAAGAATCCAAAGTTCAAGGCAGCAACAGTAATAAAACAACAGTATGCAGGTCATATAGTAACTAGCTGAAAAAGGATGAGACGAGACTTCAGTTAAAAGCCTGGGTAAAGAAAAATATTTTGATCATGCTTAGATGACAATATGGAAACTGCTGGTGAGCCTCAAGAGTGAACGCATTCCAGAGACTGATAGTTAATGATCTGTGTTGATTATGATCTCTAGATTTTTAGAGAAATATGAATTTCAGTTTTATTTAGATAGTCTCTTGAATAATGTATTTGTCCCAGAAATAATTTTTATTTGCAATTTCTATAAATATCACCTGCCAATCGAAACCATGAATGCCAGCATATCTACAAACCAAGTGTCCTTTTTTATACAATGTTCCTCTAGCGTAGCTAAGAACATACCACTTCCTTATGTTTTGGGAATGGACTTTTGAAATATTTTCAGTTTTTCATAACTTCTACTGCTTTATTATAAAGTATGATATCTTTAATCAGTACATAATATGTTGGGGGTGTTATATGATGGTTAGTTTTTCCCCCCAGAATATTTTGTAAAGTACATTTCTCATAATTATGATTGACTTGTGTTCTTCAGGTCAGTTCCTGAAAGCTGCAGAACATTATGAAGCATTCTATCACTTGACAGTGGGGCGCATATGGAAAGATGAGACAGGCCGGACTCTTAATACACTAGCCTGTGAACATCTCTGGAGGATTTACACATTACTAGCAGACAAAATGCTACAAAATAAAGAACACCAACAGGCCATCAAAACTCTAATAAAAGCCTTTGAAATGGCAAAAGAAGGTGGGTAGAAAATAACACTCCTGCATTTCTTTCTTTAATGTGCAGGCCTTGCTTTCCCAGGAGTAAAGTAAAAAAACATCGCCAAGTGTTTGATGATTATTTTCTATGAAATTCAAGACAAATGCTATCAATATATTTCTAAATCTTGTTGTAAAACAGAAGTACCTACTTGCTGACAACTAGGAATCCATTTATTTCTTGAAAGCTTTTAACTCCAAAAATGCAGTCTTTTGGGAGTACTATGGTAAAACAATGAGACCATAATCGGAAGTAAGGTCACTGGCAGCATTTCTGGTTGCAGTTTACTGATTATTCACTGTTACTTGACTAACACTACATATTTGACAAGCTGTTAGTTAATTATGAAAATAAGGTGGTTTGTTTATATGTTAGAGCTGGGAGGTTTATATGTCTCTTCGAGTTTCTTACAAATGACAAATTTCAGAGTTTAATTGTAAGAAAAGATTTTGGTGATGTGGCCTGTAGTAACGATGTTGAATACTGATTTACTGTAGAATGACATGCTATATCTGTGGAAGATAGAGTGTGTGTCATATAAATGTTGTGATTTACTCAGGTAAACTTTGATAGTCACAGTAGCTTAGACTCCATCACTCCATTCTCTCTTGCTCACCCACACACCAATCCATGTGGGGGTTGCTGAATTGTAATGATTGCCTTATGGACTCAATATTTATGAGAGTATGGGGACTTCTGGGATATGGCGCTGCAGACGGTCGCATCTTGGATCACTCCTGAGACGCCCGTCCCTGCTTTGCTCTTTTGGAGCCCCCTGACTATTGGGTGGGCTCCGCTCTGCTTCCTGGAGGGAAGTGGAGTGGCAAGGAACTTCTTCGGCCACCTCTGCTGATGGCAATCGGAGGGGTGTTGCCGTCTTGCCCCGATGCAAGAACGAAGATGCGGAAAAAAACATGGCTGCCATGTTTTTTCTTTACAGCGACCACCAGTTTTTATTTTATTTAATTTAACAAGATTCAGCAGTACATTGCAACGAAAATAAAAGACTGCGTAGGATCAAGTTAAAATCGAGTTGATATGAACTTTAATACCCCCAAGAGACATCTCCTACTATAAGAATGTGGCTTTGAAAAGTTTTGGAGAAGAGGTTTGTGCTAAAATGGAGGGGTAAGAAAAATTTGGTTTTGTCCTGTTTGAACTGCTACTATTGGATGGAAGTCTTAATTCGGAGACTAGATGACTGGCAGTAAAGAATAATGTATGTAAAATGAATGTTAAAAACTGAAAGTCTTTCTGTGTCGGCATTTTAAAATGGAGTCTGAGGGTGATAATGAAGAGCTAGACCCGGATACACTAGTTGGTAGCCTTACTTGTGAACAGTTTCAGAACTTTTTGCTGAAAGAAATTGCACAAGCGGTGAAAGATGCTTGCAATGATTTGATTGGAAGGCACCAAAGTGTAAGCCAAAATACGGAGAAAAATGAAGAGCAGCTTCAACATATTCGGAGTTCTGCTGAGGTATATGATGATTCTCAGGAGGAAGTGAGAGAGCATCTGGTTAAGCAGGGCTATTTTGGGGCAGGAACGCACAGGAACGGAGTTCTGGCTGGCTCCCAAGTTGGCCACACCCAGCAGGAACTCATTAGCATAATAGGCCACACCCAACAGCAGAAACTCATTAGGATTGGCTACATTAGGGGTATATGGCCTAACATGCAAAGGAGTTCCTGCTACAAAAAAGCCCTGGGTTTTGACAACAAACAAGGTAAACAGAATAACAAGCAAAAGGTGGGTGTGGCTGGATAACCACACTTCTGGTAACATGGGGGTGTGGCCTAATGTGCTAATGAGCCGTGCTGTCAGGGGTGTGGACTAATATGCTAATGAGTTTCTGCTGTTGGGTGTGGCCTATTATGCTAATAAGTTCCTGCTGGGCTTTTTCTACAAAAAGAACCATGTGGTTAAGCAATCGGTATCAATGGGAAAAAAGACTCTGGAAGCTAATGAAGTTTCAAGAGGCAACCCAAAAGAAATAATGAACTCTGTTTTAGAAAAAGAGATAACGAAAAGGCATTCATCAGAAGTACTAGGGAGAAAAATGAACAAGAAAAAGCTAAAAAGTAGAGAAAACGGCTGTGTAAAGAAACTGAATATAAACAAAGGACTGAAAATTAGCTTTCTGGAATATGGAAGAAAAGATTTGGACTTTCAATTGCATGAATACAAAGATGAGAGACATTGAAAGGAGATTGAAAGGAAAATGGAGGGTATTGAAAGAGAAGAGGCAAGAGACAAAAGTGATGCCTGGCTTTAGTAGAACTATTGTTGTTGTTTTTTGGGTATACATGGTTTTTGAAAATGAAAGAATAGGACTCTAATGTTATTGTGAGATACCTTGTTAGTTTACAATCTGGGAGAAGAGTATTCTTGGTGGGATGGGTTTTGTTAGACTTTTTTTGTATTACAACTTTACCCCCCCCCCCTTCTTCATATGGTTTTCTTAGGTATAGATGGAAGTGAGAGAGTGAACAGGTGTGCATTATTTATTTCTATGTAGGTAATTTCAAGATAAGGGAGGGGAGAATCTATGGTGATGCTTAAGTTCATATAGTTAGAAATTTAAAAGAAAACAAAAATAATAATAATAATTTTTAAAGCATTCCGTTAGATAATTTCTCAAAATTGTATACTTCCTCCATGGATAATATGCTGCCTAGAATGGCTAAGAATGATTACATAGGTATGTTAAAAACCAGGCCCTTTATTGAATTAATACTTTGGCTCAGCTGATTTTCCCAGAGAACAAGGAGAGAATAAAATGTTAACTTCCTAGGTAAATAGAATACTTCAATACATGTGATCGTTTTGGTAAAAATGTCCCATGTTAGAGATTTTTTTCTTCAAAACTCTATGTTCTTTTTACCGTTTGCCAAAATGACAAGAGTGACAAATTAGTTATGCTTATATTGGGTTTGCCTACTTGAAAATCAACTGTTTATAAATAGATGTCTAAGAGATCGTTTAACAGAAAGATTGACCCAGGCATTGCTGTATGTGGAAGAGCAAAAACATTTTTTTCCCTTTCATTATAGTATAGAATGACCACTAATTAATTGGTTTTGCAAGTAGAGCAAACAGGAAACAAGACCTTAATTACCTAAGTAAATAGGATGGCTCCACGAGTGTGATATCTCCAGTCCAAGAAAGGTTTAGGAGTAAGAGTGTTGTTGTTATGGTTAGTGTTATATTATAAACCTTGTTAATGGAGCAAGTTAGATGAACCTGATACACGCAGTACTTGAGTTATTAGAGTTAATAGGATTAGGATAAAATGCATAATTAACATATTTATTTAAGTTTTAATATTGTGATGGATGTAAAATGTATGTGTCTTTTTTCTGTTATATTTGATGAAAACTCAATAAATAGAAAACAATAAATAGAATATATAAAAAAATATTTATGAGAGTATTACAGCTACTATAATTGGGGCAAATTCTGTGATCCTTGACCATCAAACCATGCCTCCTTCTAACATGCAACCAGATGTTGGAGATGGTTAGTAAGACCCCTTGATAATCAGCAGTTGTAGCACTTCAGCTCAGAAAATTCTGGGTACAGGATAAACTCAGTTCTTGAAAGCTGCTTACCTTTGCCTAACCATTAGTTGTCAAGAAATCCAGTTCTCAGATCTTGACTAATTATGAGAGAAGAATACAGGGCTAAATTTTGCATCCAGCTGTTTTCACAGATGTCTTTCCCCCCCCCTGATAGGGGAGGAACTACACTTAGTGCTAGAGTGCGTATTTCATCATGTGGGGTTTGGGGGGAGATCATCAGTCTGAATTACGCATTAAGGGTGCGTTCAGACGGCGTGCTGAGTGCAGTTTAAACTGGTCCGGTTCTGACGCGATTATTTTATATTATTCTGCACTGTTTTAATGTTTTAACTTGGGCATTCGGGCCCCTTGTGAGCCGCCTGAGCCTTCGAGGAGGGCGGGGTATAAATTTAAAGATAATTTTTTTAAAAAAATTACTCTGGACAACCGCGATCACACGGGGGCATGTGTCGGGTTTTTTCCCCTCTCAGTTTGCTTGTGCGCATAACTGTTCATCCGTGGAATTGAAAAACTTTATCCTTGCGCATGCGCAGAGCCACGGATTTTGCTTGACAGTTTTGCAGAGCACCGTGATTTCACTGCTTTGACAGAAGACTTCCCTTTAAACTTTTTGCCTGAAACTGGCCTCTTTGGGATCCCAAACTCAAAACTAGTACTGTTTAAATGTTGGTTTTTAAAACATGGGAGCGGAGCTCCGCTTATGCGCATACTGCCGACCAATGCTCCCTCTAAGCTGTGGAGTCTTGTGAGCAAAAATTCTACTTTGTGAGCTACTGGTGTTAAAGTTGTGAGCCAGCGATTTGGCCGCTGCATAAATCAGTTTGCTCTGGAGCTGTCCTTCCCAAGCTAAGACAGAAATGTGTGAGCCAGAGGTTTAAAAACTGTGAGCTAGCTCACACTAACTCAGCTTAGAGGGAACACTGCTGCCGACGCACAAAAAAAATGGCAGCCGAAAAGCAGAAGCCTTGGGCTTTCGAGCAGGGATGGGGTTTAAATCATCAGAAGTGGCTTGACACTGAAGGAGCGATCACACAGGGGGAACTGCGGCTTTAAACAGGAGAGCTGAGAAAACACCACTTTGGGACCTGGTAACAAAATACTCCGGGTTAAAGGGGTTTTGAGCCAGAAACCAATGGCTGAGGAGGCAGATGTTGACTGTGTGATTGTGCGTATAAAATCCATTGCTGAACTGTCATGACACGAGATCAAACGGCGCATCTGAACGCACCAACAGAGTTCTTTCTTCCATGGGAATCACACCTAAGTCAGTATGTCCCAAATCTATTTCAACAAAAAGATGGTTTTCTCTTGAGATTTGTTCTGTCAGATCTCCCCCCAGAGGAACATGTTCTTCAGCACTTTAAAACTGACTGCTATTGAAAACATTAACGGTTGGTGGACACATTTATGCACTTCTGCATAGTGAATTTTATAATTGCTGTTTTGGGAATTAAGTTTCAGCAGTCAAGAACTAATTGTGAATGGTACATTACGTTCTCGTCATATGTTTGGGATAAGAGTGGGTTTCACAGTTTTCAAGACAATGGGCAAGAAACCTAAGGTGCTTCTCCTCTATGAGATTTCCTGCTGTTCCTAAGGTCAAGAAACGTCAGTTACTCTCTTGCAGGCCTCGGATCGGGGTGGAGCGCGCCGGTACATTGCTCTGGGAGAGAGGCACGGGGGCGGGGCAGTCACATGGTGAAGCCCCGCCCCCTTCTTCCGGCCACCCTCTGCTTCCAGCCTCATTCTGTTCCAGAATGAGGAAGAAGCAGGAGGGTAAATCGGCTTCCTTCCCCCATCTCTACCTGGCCGAGGCTGCTCCAGCAGCCTCCGCTAGGCCTCCAGGGCCAACCCAGACCTTCCCGGAGGTGCACGAAGCCACGCACCCCAGGAAAAATCTCTTCTCCATCTCTGCCTGGCTGAGGCTGTTCTTGGCGGCAGCTGCAATGTTCGCAGGGGGACAACATTCTCCTGCCTCCCTGAGCCCCAGGGTGGTGGCCTTGGACTCATAGGGGCAAATTCCACCTCTCGCGAGAAGTCATTCTGGCTCTCCCAGCTGTCCTTAGGGGCTCTTTAAAAAGTAATGGCCGCCGCCGCTGCTTTCGGCTGCAGCTGCAACCACCACGGGGGGAGGGAGGGTCTGCTGAGCTGCCCTCCCTGCCTTTTTCAGGCTCCTCGCCGGAGTGCCGGGCCTGAAAAACAGCCTGCAGAGCCGCCACCCCTCCTTTTTCAGGCTCCGCGCTAGAACGCCGGACCTGAAAAAGGGCCAGCCGAAT